TTTGAGGACACTCACATATGTGCTTGTCACTTCGCAGCAATATATTTTTCTTTCTTTTTTCCTTTCAGATCATAAATGGATGACAATAAGTTAACTCATGAAATGAAAAGACACGCTGTTATCGTCGCTATACACGCAAATCACAGCGATCTTGAAATCTCCGAATTTTTGAATCTCGCCCGATCGTTTGTTCACAAAGTTCGTCGAGAGTTAGAAGTATCTAATGACAATGTTCAAAATGTTGCCAAGCGCAAAACACATAAAGCACGTTCAGACACAGTTAGAACATCACAGTTTGTGCAGCAAGTCCAGGGCATTATTGATGAAGACCCTTCAAAGTCCATAAGGGCCATATCGAGAGATCTTCAGGTTTCTGAGTGCACAATCCGTCGCATTGTCCACGAAGACATCCGGTACAAATCATATGTGATGCGCAAAGGTCAGTTTATGTCTGCACGCACTCGAGAACAGCGATTCATCCGGGTACAACGACTTCTAAGCAAGTGAAAACATCCTGAAATCTCGGATATGCTGTGGTTTTATTCTGACGAAAAAAATTTTGACCAAAAATTTTGAAAAAAAATTTGGATCAAAAAGTGAACCGACGAAATGATAGGTGGCTATGTGCTGATCCTTCAGAAGTTCCTCATGTTATGCACACAAAGTATCCGGCAACTGTCATGGTTTTGGGGGTGGTGAGCAATGAAGGACACGTCATGCCACCGCACTTCTTTCCTCAAGGACTTCGAGTGAATGCTGCTGACTACATTGCGGTTTTGGAAGGAGTTGTGAAACCCTGGATAGATAGCGTGCGTGGTGAAAGACCATATGTATTCCAACAGGACTCTGCTCCTTCACATAAAGCCACGACGACGCAAGATTGGATGTCCGAGAATTTGCATGATCACATAACCCCAAACATGTGGCCACCTAGCTCCCCTGATCTTAATCCTTTAGATTACTATGTATGGGGCGTTGTAAAACGGGAGACCAATAAACATCCCCACAACACGCTTGATTCCCTCAGAGCAACTATTGCCAGAGTAATGACACATATGGACAAGGCTCCTTTGATTCGAGCATACAAACGTTTTCGGCAGAGAATTGAAGCTGTTATTGCTGCTGA